CACCAGTTTTAACATCAGAGGAAACCAACAAGACACCCCCGTTGTCCCTTATTGTGTCCCTGCAGGCTGGGTCCGTTGGTCTGGGGATGCTTTCAAATAAATTCACTTGAAGCAGCAAAGTCCCGTTTCAGTGGTTGAACCCAAAGAAATTCTCATCATTTTTAAACTGATGAGGGAAAAAGAAATAAACAATCAGCTTGAAAATCTGCTTTATTCAGAACCAGAACCCTCAGAATTCTGACATTTTTTCCAAACTCAAAAATGAAGGGATTCAAACTTGTTGACGGTCTCTAAGGGTTGTGAGTTCTACCGGGACATCCTGCTGAGGAGACACGGCCTTCCTAGTCTGCACCATGTCATCTTTCCTGTCTACTCCTCAGCTTGGATCAAACCTCATTCACCAGTTTGGTCCTCCAACACAAACGTGAAGTCCTCCCCTCCCACTCAACTCTGAGGGAGCATTCCTTACTTTCCACATGAGAACTTTGGGCTCAGACTTGGAGAAGTGGGCTCTCATCACACTGAAGATAAGAGACCAAGAGACGCACATAAAATACAAAGAGCAAAGATTAGACCAAGAAGGTCTCAACTCCTTGATGTCCTGACCAACGGAATGGGAGACAGGAGATAGTACCTGGTAGGGTCCCAGGGGCGGGCAATCCTGGTCCTTGAGGGCCACTATCCCACATGTTTTACTGTTTTCCCTGTTTCAACACACCTGATTTCAATTAGCAGGAGATTAGCTGGATTCTGCAGCTCGATGAGCTGCTGAATCAACTGTGTTGGAACTGGGAAATAACAAAAAGATGGAGGATACTGGTCCTCGAGGACTGGAGTTGCCCACCCCTGGTCCAACCTGTGGAGGACAAGGACAGCACCACCAGGCTGCCTTGGAGGACAATCCAGGGTGTCTTCCTTCCGTCCTATTGGGTAGATTCAAATCTAAAGTGGTCATATGGACCCGTCCTGGAAGACCTTCATAATGAGCCTCGTTAACAGTCTGCAAGATCTCATCTTATGGATCCAAAGCTCTCTGCCAGAAACCTCTCAAGGAAGCACTAAACCCAAAGGCTCCACTGAATAGAAATGATAAATGATGAACGGCCTGCTTCTGTAGAGGACTCCAGAGTGCTCCTCACAATGAAATCATTCATCCAATCACACACATACACAGGTGGTGATGAGCTACATCAGAGCCACAGCTGCCCTGGGCGCACTGACGGAGGTGGGGCAGGTAAGCACAGGTGCCACCGGTCCTTCGACCACCACCAGCAAGTGCCTTGCTCAAGGACACGATGACTGACCTGACTGACGTAGCCTGGGTTTGAACCTGCAACACGCTGACTACAGGACAAACTCCAAACACCGTCGCCCTTAGAAGGAGGCATAAACAGCTCTAGAGGTTTCATTCTTCTGGCTCACGAGCAGACTTTCGAGGAACCTTCTGAACGCTAGCACCGCAGCACCGAGCTAACGCTGCAGCACCGAGCTAACGCTGCAGCACTGAGCTAACGCTGCAGCACCGAGCTAACGCTGCAGCACTGAGCTAACGCTGCAGCACCGAGCTAACGCTGCAGCACCGAGCTAACGCTGCAGCACCGAGCTAAGACTACAGCACCGAGCTAACGCTGCAGCACCGAGCTAACGCTGCAGCACTGAGCTAACGCTGCAGCACTGAGCTAACGCTGCAGCACCGAGCTAACGCTGCAGCACTGAGCTAACGCTGCAGCACCGAGCTAACGCTGCAGCACCGAGCTAACGCTGGAGCACCGAGCTAAGACTACAGCACCGAGCTAACGCTGCCGCACCGAGCTAACGCTGCAGCACCGAGCTAACGCTGCAGCGCCGAGCTAACGCTGCAGCACCGGTGTTTGTAATTTGACACCAGCAGGCAAAAAGCTCCAGAGTTAAGGAACTGAAGCTAGTAAACAAGAGCAACTCAGAAGTGATTCCTTGTACCTATTTTTGTTTTACTCTAATATTGCGTAGAAAAGGCTAGAGGTTAACATTGAGCGAACAATGCTAACGATAAAATATTTGAAGCTACTATATGAATCACCAACCACTCAGGATTCCAGTATTTATTCCATATTCATCTACTTATAATTTGCTGTGGAGGTCTTCACTCATCATCTAGAACCTTCTGGTCTGACAACAGTCATGAAACCCACGGAACGAGAGTGAAATTCACTTGTTTGTTTTGAAACATGGACTGCAGTACCCACATTCGACCACAGGATGTCAGACTTACTAAATTATTTAGTTGGTTTGAGGTCTACTGGAGTGAAAGATGGCTGAGGAGCCTTTATTTGGGCTCACGGTGTCTCCGCGTTTCCTGTGTGTGTGTGTGTGTGTGTGTGTGTGTGTGTGTGTGTGTGTGTGTGTGTGTGTGTGTGTGGTCACTCACCAGTAAGACCTCATATGACAGACCATAAACAATCATAAGAATTCATTTCCATTGTGTGAATTATTGGCCATGTTTCAGCAGTTATCATGAAAATAAACAATAATTTCATGATGTTTTCATCTTAAGGCTCCATTGTGGGGTTTTCTGTAAACATTTATTTTTGTTTGAAAAAGTTTCAAAATTACATTTTTGAAAAATAATAAAATTTAAGTTTCAAGCCTGAAACGTTAACGTGTCTGAAGACGAGTGCTAATCAATGGGAATGGTTTAACCCCCCCAGCTCCCGGAAAGCCCTCGGAAGCAACAGGAACCCCTCGGCTCTGTCAGCTTAGAGGTTTGACTTTGTCTTTATTTCCTGATTTCTAAATTTGCCTCTTTAGAAAAAAAAATCTCCCGAGAGGTGATCAATACCGATTACCCACCGATCATGTTCCTGTGAAGGAAAACATCTGTGTTTCTGAGAAAAACAGCAGATGGTGAAAACACGCTGCTCTGCAGCAGCTCCCCCTCACTGAGATCAGACTCCCACTTTTTCACCTGAAGAGCTTTAAAACAAGAAATGTTTCAGTGAAACTTGCTTCAGTCGAATGGAGCTGCTTCTGCTGATGGCTCTGATGCAGGTCAAAGGTCAACTCTTTCCCCTCAGTTGCTTTCATGAACACAAGAAAACTGCAGTAAGATGAGTTTGTTTGTTTATTTAGAAAAACAAAACTATCCATAATTGATTATCACTCTAAAGAAGCGATAAATACAACCTGGCTGAATGTTTTTTCTCTGGCAAAAGACCTGTTTTCAGTTCATCTGTGAAGATTATACTTTTAGAACAACAAAACTTTCATCTGCAACAAGGAACAGGAGCAATTGCATGTTTTAAACAAGGTGCGTACAAACAAAGCAGGTGCAATAATAAAAGATGTGTTTGTTTGTTTGTGAGGTAGTTCGTCTGTTTTGTCTTAAGCTCTAAAAGAGAAACTCCAGTAGTTTTATTATTTAAAATCCAAGAGCTGGAAAAGCGCATGGTCCTAGACGAAAGCCCCGCCCATCTGTGTGTGTGTGTGTGTGTGTGTGTGTGTGTGTGTGTGTGTGTGTTGGATTAGTTTCTAACTGTTTAATTTTGTCCACTTTAACAATAATAAAAAGTAGAATTTATGACGCGTTGCAATAAAATCATGAATATTATTTTATAGATCAGGTCTTTTTTCTCAGATTCATCATTTAAAAGGATAAAGTTTTCATTTTCCTGATCAGATAAATCCTGCCACAACGTGTGAAACTCGGATTTTTACTGAAATATAATCCGGAACAGCTGACTGGTTAAAAATGAACCCGATCGTTTAAGTTTTGCTTTAAAATGTCAATAAACGAGTTTTTCCTGTTTGAATTCTCTGTTTCGGTCTCTGGTGAGATTTGTGGAATAAAACCTGTAAAATGTTTCATTCTAATCCAGAAAAGAGTCTCTCTAATAAACTGGACCTGCTGCTTTGTGCGCAGCCCCTCCTCCACCTCCGCCGCCTCCTCAGGTCTGTTTGCGCGCTGCAGTGTCACAACCAACAGACACAAACAGGAGCTCCTTCATCCCGGCGCAGCAGCCATACGGCCGCAGCGGCGAACCGAGCCCAACAGCCCCGGGTCCGTTCTCATCCGCAGCTTCTGTCAGCAACAACAGTCAACAGGCAGAGGGTTCCCGTTCACCTGCGACAGAATCCCCAGTAGTAGTAGTAGTAGTAGTAGTAGTAGTAGTAGTAATAATAATAATAATAATAATAACATTATTATTATTATTATTATTATTATTATTATTATTATTATTATTATTATTAAGAAAAGCAACAACAATAATAGTAATAACAATAATAATAATATTAATTATTATCGTTACAAGTTTTTACGCACAGTGTTTTCGGGAAATTATTAGAATATTGTATCTTCTTCTTTCACTTCCGGTCGAAGCATTTTCTCTTAAAAATAAACCAGAAACTTCAAATATAAATGTGAGAAACAAAAGTGTCTAAAGATTTTTTGGAAGACTTCTGTAAAAGTTGAGTTTGGACCCATCGGACTGCTGTTTTCCACGTTTTAACTTTATTTTATGCTTTAGCTTTAAATTATTTAATTAAAAAACTAAAGAGTTGCAGGTGTGGAGGGAATTTCTCACAAAAGTAAAAGCAGCTTAGTTTTTTAAACCTAGCCTCCTTGGATGAGTTTGGTGGTGCCGACTCCTGTTTGTCTCAGATCTTTTTGGAGAAACGACTTTAATTTGCAATTTACTTCTCCGAGACTTGTTGTTGTTGTAAAGAATCGATTATCGATTGATCCCTGCGCACACCGACTGTGACTCTCATAAACGTGACAAATCAGCTGTGCGCGCGCGAAAGCGCGCGCCTGGAAGGCCGCTCTCCGCCGCCCGGCCTCATGGTTTCTGAAACGTGAAAGGTTTCTCATGAAGGAAATGATGCGTTTCTTTCCGCGCGCTGTAGTAGCGCCTCCGGGATCCGTGGTGGATTATTATTAAACAGAACGAAGGTGGAAGAATCCCATACCTGAGGGGGCTGAAGTATTGTTGTTGCAACGTGTCAGAGGAGTTTATCTCTTAGAGGAGGGACACGCGAGGACTCTGCTGAAACAATATCAAACATGTTGTGTTTATTTCTTTTCTTTAAGTTGCCTCCCAGCTCCTCGGAGAGGAGGTTCTTGAACGCACGAGACTGCGAGTTCCTGGTGCGCATTTTACGCACGGACCTGGGATGGCTCTGTGCTGCGATCTCCCCCCGGCGCAGCGCGTGTCCTGTCCGTGTCCACGGCCTCCGGACTCCCTCTCCTCTGTTTATTTTCCCTCCAAGTCCGGGATGTAAACAGTTTTATGGACGCCTTGGGGGCAAATATTTGAATCGGAGGAGTGTAAACGTGAGGAGCGGCGGGGATTTGGGTTTACGTACGCACGGTGTACGTTTCCAGCTCCGGTTCTTTGGTTTGGGGGGAGGGGGGCGCTGAGGGCTGAGAGAGGAGAGGATTAAGTGAGCTGCAAAAAGTTTCAAGCGTGGTAAACAATTTAAATCTAAGTAAATTATTTATTTTTAACATTTTATTGAAGTTTAATTTATTTTCCTTCTCTCTGTGTGCTTTCTCCAAAAATAACAAATATCATTAATACAAATATTATAAATTGGCGGGAATAATATTAACACAAACACCAAAGTAAACAGATGCAAAATTAATGAAAATTAAACAAACAGAGAAAATAAACATTATTGCTTTAAATAGTTAAGATTTCCGGGTTTATTTGGGATCAAATCTCGCTCGACGCGCAAGAAAAGCGTGAAGGGAGCGGGGCATTTTTTGCAGCGTGCGCGTTATTGGCGGATGTGCGTGTTTCCCTGCGCCTCCTGATTGGCTGAGAGCTCAGAGGACGGCGTAATGTTTAATACTGATGTCCCTCTGGTTGGCTGAGGACTGGGAAGGTCCAACCAATGTTTTTCACTTGCTTTAGTGGCTGCGGCTCCCTAATTAATTGCAGCTATCTGTCTCCTATCGATGTGTGTGTACATGTGTGTTGTGTGTGTGTTTCCCCCTTTCTCCCCAAAGCGAACATGAAATAGTTTGTTGGGCTATACTTTCTTTCTTCCTCTCTATCCCCCCTTCCTTCCTTCCCGTCCTGGTTCGCTGGTGGAGGCAGGAAGCACCGAAACCCAGCTGTGTCCGTCGCTTCTGCTGCTCGCCGTTTCCCCCCCTCACTGCTCGGTGATGTTGGACATGGGAGAGCGCAAAGAGGTGAAGATGATTCCCAAATCGTCGTTCAGTATAAACAGTTTGGTGCCCGAGGCCGTGCAAAGCGACAACAACAACAGCAGCAGTCACCACCACCACCACCACCACCAGAACCAACACCGGCCTGCTGGCCCGGATGACACCGAGCAGAAAGCTCCTCTGCCGGTCACGCACTCGGACGCGAAAGCGGAGCCCAAAAGTGACGCCTCGAGCCAGGAGAGCTGTCCGGACGAGAAGCAGGAGGAGAAGGACGGAAAAGACGGGGACGGCGGTACCGGAGAGAAGGACGGGGAGAAGAAAAGTGGCAAGTACGAGAAACCTCCGTTTAGTTATAACGCCTTGATCATGATGGCCATCCGGCAAAGTCCGGAGAAGAGACTCACCCTGAACGGGATTTATGAGTTCATCATGAAGAACTTTCCGTACTACCGGGAGAACAAGCAGGGCTGGCAGAACTCCATCAGGCACAACCTCAGCCTCAACAAATGCTTCGTGAAGGTCCCGCGGCACTACGACGACCCGGGCAAAGGGAACTACTGGATGCTGGACCCCAGCAGTGACGACGTGTTCATCGGCGGAACCACAGGGAAGCTCCGCCGGCGATCCACCACGTCCCGGGCCAAGCTGGCTTTTAAGCGTGGTGCCCGGCTGACCTCCGGCCTGACATTCATGGACCGAGCCGGATCCTTGTACTGGCCCATGTCTCCGTTCCTGTCCCTGCACCATCCACGGGCCGGCAGCGCGCTGGGCTACAACGGGACCTCGTCGGGATATCCGGGTCATCCCATGTCCTACAGCACCATGCTGACCCAGAACATGAGCAGCAACCACTCCTCGTTTCCGTCCTCCAACGGGCTCAGCATGGACCGGCTGGTCGGCGGGGATCTCCCTTACGCGACGCACCACCTGACGGCGGCGGCCCTGGCGGCCTCGGCGGTGCCCTGCGGCCTTTCCGTGCCTTGCTCCGGGGCCACCTACTCCTTGAACCCGTGCTCGGTGAACCTGTTGGCTGGACAGACAAGTTACTTTTTCCCCCACGTCCCCCATCCCTCCATGACCTCACAGACCGGGGCCGGGGGTGGCGGCTCTTTGCAGGCTGCCCGGGCTTCGGCCTCCAATTCCCCGCAGGCACCATCCTCTTCCTCGCTGCCATGTGACAGTCTGAGGCCGGCCCTGTCCGGCTCTCTGCCGGCCTTCTCCTCGGGACTTTCCGGGGGTTTGTCTGACTATTTTACACACCAGAACCAGGGGTCAGCCTCCAACCCGCTTATACACTAACTACACATCCACCCATCCATCCACCCATCCCTGAAGGAGTGAGCATCTTAAATGATTGGAACAGTAAGCTGAATGTTTTACATCGAACATTGTGTAAAAATGACAGATTATTATAAACTAGCTATCATAAAAAGAAGAGACTTAAACTGCAAAACAAAAAGAGCAGCACTAACTCACTGAAAGCAGCACTGACATTTCCAGGTATTTTTTTAAAATTATTGTTATTATTATTATTACAATGATTATTATTATTATTATTATTATTGTTTCTTCTTCTGCTCCATCTCCTCCTGCAGTTTTAATTTTTGTGTACATAATGTTTGTTACTGTAAATGTCCGGGTTTGTCTCTGTATAGTACTGTCAGTCAGTGACGTGCAATGTGATCTGAGATAAGGAACGAGAGGATGATGAGCGCTTATCTCGTGTTTTCTGTTCTTGTTGGAGGAGGCATTTCCGTTTTACTTTAATCTTTCACCCTAATGGAGAATTCAAAATGTTCTTGTTCCTAATGAAAAAAAAGATAATAATAATAATAATAATAATAATAATAATAATAATAATAATAATAATAATAATATAACAATGGTGGCTAATAAAAGGCGTAAAATTTAGAATTTTATTTCACAAAATGTAGTTTTTGTTCTAACTTTTGATTTATTTTTATTATTATTATTATTATTATTATTATTATTATTATTATTATTATTATTATTATTGCTAACTTTTTTAATTGAAGATATTTTATGCATTAAATGAAGATAATCTGCGTCCCATAATCCCAGTCCACGCGGGCCTCTGATTCTCCATTCATTCATTTCCTGGTTAAAAAAATAACTTCATGCGCTTTTTATAGACCAAAGAATCTGTAGAGACTGAAGTCAGTATTTTGCTGTAACATATGACCGACCTGATGTAATGAAATGAGTGGATGAAGGAGGACCTGGAGCCTCCATCACTGCAGAAAATGTCCTTCAAGCGAGATTTTTTATTCCTGCTCTATTTGCAGTACATTTATTTGATTTTATTTTCCAGAAATGTGACTGGTGCTCGCGGGTGCCCTTTTCTTTCTTTCTAGAATTTCAAATATTTTATTTTCAAATTTCAACAAACGGAGCTGCTAGAGGAATTTGCCTTATTTCGTCTATTTTTTATCCTAATTTAATAGAAAAAACTGAGATTTTAGTCTGATTTTGAGCGTAATTGTCTCGTTTTGTGGACGGATGTTATCCGCAGTGAAGCTGTGAGCAGTGATGTAAACGTGACCGCAGATAGCCAGAAAACGGACGTTCACGCTTCTTCTTCTTCTTCTTCTTTGTACAATTAGTTAAAAAAAGAAAAACACGTCTTTGTAATCAGATTATTATTTTTTCTTTTAGAAAAGGAGGAACAATGTAAAAATACTTTTTGTTTAACAAAAGAAAATATGCCTCATATCGAACAGGCTGCTATTTGGAATGATTGTCTTTTAATTGTTGCCTCTAAAAGGATTTTTCATGGTTGTGATACTATTGTGGTCTTATTCTTATCCCGTGTTTGTCGCTTACAAAAGTAAACAAAAAAAAAAACAAGAAAAATTGTTTTAATCAAAAAAAGTAAATAAAAATAGGTTACATTCATAACTAATAAGTCCTTTTGTCTCTTTTGTATTTTATCCCTTTCTATTTGTTTTTACTTGTCTCATATATATATATATATATATATATATATATATATATATATATATATATATATATATATATATATATATATATATATATATATATATATATATATATATGCATGTATGTATGTATGTATGTATGTATGTATGTATGTATGATGGCTTTTACGCAGAGAGATTTAGTGCCATCGTGCGTGCGCAGCGGCTCTAATTGTTACCTGTAGGTGTGGGACTGGTTTGCGGGTCCTCTGGAGGACCGTGTGGGGACTTGTTTATTTTAGGGACAGCTTGTCCTTTTTGAACAGTGAATCTTGTGGTTTTGTGTTTATTTTGTAGCTCTGAGCTCAAATCTCAGCCAACCCTGACGCGCTGTGTCAGGTTTAAGCTTCACTTTCAGGCTGCTTTTGGACGCGGTGGGTTTTTATACTTTAGCTCGTTGGGTGTAAAATCCTGTCTGCTGATTCTGTCCTGAGGCGTTTTTTAATATCCACGTTTAAACATCCGACCTGGTCAGAGTTTTTGTAGCTTCTGTATTTGATGAGATGTTTCCCCCCCCCCCCCCCACCCCCACCCCACCCCCACCGTTCCTCACCCCAGAAAACAGTGCAACCGGAAAATTAGCCGGTTCTGATCCACACGGAGGGGTTTCGCTGTTCCAATGCTCTTGTCCGAACTCGAGAACCCGCGAGGAGAAAATCCTGAACAGTTCTAAACAAAAAAGTGCAGATTTTTGGCCCTTTTTGGTTCTGGAGCTGTGCTTTTGTCTCGCGCTTGGCGTGTTCGCGAGGACGTGACGTCTTCGTTTCGTGCTGCTGCTGCTGACAATTTACTTCTCTGGTTCATAAAAAAAAACAAAAACAAAAATTAAATAAAAAAAGCAGTTAAGCGTAATATTTTTCATATTGTAGCGCAGATATTTTTCATCTGGCAAATTTGTTGTTGCCTAATAATTATTTTGTATTTTGTTTCTTAAAGTTTTTAGAGATAAATGTTTAGTTGAGGATTATGAAACTTTCATTCGTGTTTAGCTTTTATTATTTATTTATTACATTTTGTGTTATTTAGCAGAAACTACAGGCCCCCCCCCCCCCCCCCCCCCCCAAGCTGTTGCGTCATGGATGAGCTCAGACTGAATTTAGTTTGTTTGGTGCGCTTTTCTCATCCTTGCGCGTTCTTGTCCCATCTCCATATGGAGGCGTTTCTGTCACGTGAAGGCGGAGATGTGAGCGGTTCCGTTCGGCACCGGGCGGATCAGGGTTCCGGTTGTACCTCAGAGCCTGTAAGCTGAGCCGTTTACTCGCGCGTTTTTCTCAGATTTGTTCGCCTTTTTCTCCAATTCCGGATTTATCGTTACTTTTCACGCTTTGGTTTTTCATCCAAGATCTTTAGCGCAGCAGTTGTTTTCCCGTCTTTTATTCAATTCGATGCTTTAAATTCTCTTCTGGCGCTCCTAATTTCACAAAAAGGGCGCATTGTCCGCTAAGATGCCGCTCACCCCTCCGTCTGTCTGTGTGCCTGTCTGTCTCTGTCTGTGTGCCTGTCTGTCTCTGTCTGTGTGCCTGTCTGTCTTGCTGGACTGGTTTTCGGATGCTGCGTTTATTCGTTTAGAACATTTTTGCGCCATATCTGTAACAGATTTAAACGGTCACCTGCTTTTGGATCCAGCAGCAGCATCTGGCTGACTTTTGACGTCTGACTGGTTGCTGCAGGTCAAAGGTCAAACCTGGTGTGAAGGTTTCGGTACCTCCAACCAGAACATGGATCCAAAACTATATCCCAAACACCAGAGGGTTAATATAAACAACCAAGTAAATGAAAGGATGAGCCAGGAAGTGGAAGGAGAACCTCTCCTTTTGGGCCAGGCGGGGACTCCAGATGTTTACGTGCTGATGTAAAAGTGACTTCTTCTGTTGTGTTTGCTTTTGTTTTGGCTCAGAGCAAATGACTCATTTGTTGTTTATTTATTGTTGTTGGAGGTGAATTCAGCTTCAGTGAAGCTGAAAACGGCGTGTTGGTGTTGCTGCTCCTGGTGGATGTTCTCACCTGATGTTTACCTGCTCAGGTGTTAAAGTTTACTCTGTGGAGCAGTTGTTGTTAACCTGCTAGGAGGAATGTCAGATATAATAATAAAATACTAAAAGTGTTCATTTATTTTCACAATTAACATTTTATCTGATTATTGGAATCAAAAGAAATAATTTATACTTTAGCTTCTTCATATTTTATTTTACACAAATCAAAACGACTTTTTCATGTAAATGCTGGGATGCTTCAGCCTTTGTTTGAATCTGTGAAGCAACAAAAACATCGCTGTTCAGCAGATCAGAGGTCAGCCTGACTGGCCTCAGGGCACGGGGTCAAAGTTCAGCCCCGAGCAAATCCAGTCGTTTCTTTTAAAATGTTCACTGGTTTTAGTGGAACTGTTAAAAATCGGTTCTATCTACAGGCAGCATTAATAAAATGAGCTAACAATTCAGAAATTGGCCCTTTAGCTATTTTTTTAAAGTAAATATTGAAAAATGTATTTTTTGTTGCATTAAAGAAAGTGATTTTAGATTTACAAACACAAAAAACCCTCCTAATCAATATTTTACCATTTTGAAATAAAAACAAAAAGGTTGAATTGGCATAAAGAGAGAAATGTGAGTTTTTAATGCTTTTTGTTGAATTTTTAAGGATAAAACAACAAAAATGTGTCATGAGTTTTGCTGATCAGTCTGCTGAGATGTCATCCTATCATACTGAGAAACAATAACATGTTTTTGCTCGTTAAAAACAAAAGCTGTGCCATAAATCACATTTAAGGTTTTGATAAAACAAAATGTGATTTTGATTATCGGTGAGGAAGCAACCTGATTCCACAATTCATCCATTCAAACAAGCATTTTAGTAAAAAGATCTGCCTTTTTGTCAACAAATAAAAATATCAGAAATGAGGTTTTATTTACAGAACAGTTGGTTTCAGAGTGGTAGGGTGCCCAAACTGTGGTCCGCGGTCCATTGGTGGCTCTCAGAGGGATTGTGTGCGGCCCTGCACGACTATGCATCCGTGTTTTTTTTTTCTCACCAGTAAACCATGGGTAGAACGAAAAATATGAATGATATTTATGGTTTTTTAAACATCTGCATCAGCCGATGTACTTCGTTAGTGAAGCGGATTTAAAGTCGGGCACATCCCCGGGCAGCCCGGTGCTGCTGCAGAATTTAATTTAAATGTATTTTTAAGTAACAGCTACTTAATAAATGCTGTAAAGATTCTTTTCAACAAAAATGCATTTTTATTTTAAAACATGTAATACTTGGTGAGTATTTAGTTTTTTTGGATGAACTTTATTTAGATGTCTGACTTTGACACTGAGCAAGGCACATCATTAGGATTTTAGTCGGTTTAATGTTTTAACTGATTCAGCTTCATACGTTGTTTTCGTCAGCTGTCATCAGGGACATTTTAGCACGACGATAAAGTGGAAATCTCTGGATATCGGCCATGAAAATTGGCCCAAAAATCAGCAGCACGTATCGGCCATCGGCTGAGCCTGTCTACTACACATCGGTGTCGACAGAAAAACCAACATCGGTCCGCCTCCACAGCAAACTAAACACTGCTGTGGGCTTTTGTAAAATAATGCATGTTTAATGTTGTTTAGCAGCTATAGAACATCAAATGAATCTTTTAAAACTTGAATGGCCTGTTTGGATTTTCAACCTGCTTATTTGTTTCCCCCATAACTACACCTGAGCTCCAGAGGCACCTGGTTCCTCACCCGTCGAGCTTAGTGAGGGCGAGGAACATTAAACACTCTGGTTTTGAAAGTCCAGCCGTTGGAAAATCCTGTTAAAGTAAAAATGTTGACCTCTCACATCTAACTGCCTTTTAAGATTTGTGTTGTGGACAAATGCAGCTTTGCACCTTTTTGACGATAAGCCTTCAAAAGCTGAACCAACCCCCCAAATCTGCATCTGAATAATTAGCACAGGCTCGAGCAGAAAGTTTAGCATCCTGTGATTCTGTAAATCTGATAAGCAGCTCTTTCTTCCATTCTCTCTGTGAAGTTTGCTTCAAATTCTCCCTCTGTGGGTCTGAAGTTGGCTCTGAGACGGGGAAGCTGTGGAAGGGAGCAGCAGATGTTTTGGCTCTTAGCATTTGATTGTCTGATACCACGTAACAACAAAGCCAGACTTTCAGCAGCAATTTGTTAGTTTCCTAGAGGAAGGCTGTGAGTTAAACGAGTCCGACTGTAACGCAAGAACCAGCCGAACAATGGAGCAGCCCGGGAACCCAATATCTGTCAGGCTGATCCTATCTGTCCCATGTTAAATGGGGTGACCAGCAGTCAAAAGACGAGCGAGGCAGCCGAAGGAAACAGGGGTGGGGGTGGGGGGACTCTCTTTTTTCTTCCTTTTCTTCTCTTCTTCTATCCGCTCTGTTCCTACCTCTGCAGCATTTTCCCGTTCTGCCTCGTCACGTCTGCATTAGGTGTGTGTGCCGCGGCCTCATGCTGCCGAGACTCTCCCTTTTCTCTACCCACAATAAAAGCTGTAGAGTCTAATCGTCCTCCATGTGTCACCACGTTAATTCTAGAACTTCCTCCTCCTTCTGAAAACAAGAAAATCACACAGCGAGCGCTGATCGGATGCCACCTTTCGGCATCAAATGGGAAAACTGTCACTTCCCAGCAGGACACATTTGATTCTGCTTGGTGAAAATCCCCGCGCCAGCCTGCCGCTCGGTCGCAAATATATCTAAAACACCGGCTTCAGGCATTCTTCTCTCACGATGCTTCTGGCTTTCCTCAGAGGTTAGAAGGTAAACAAGTGAAACAAACAAACAAACAAACAAACAAACAAACAAAATGTCCAGGGTTGGAGTTATTACTCAGTAGTACGGAAGAGGATTAGGGCCACTGGAGGAAAAAATAATTCTCAGAATTCAGATTTCTTGACTTTTTTCCCTCTTGGCCCTAATCCTCTTCCGTACGTTAGGAGCCGGGGTGTCCAACACGTGGCTCAGAGCCCGTTTTATGCTCAGAGTGATTTTGTGCCTTTACCAGATTCCATAACTGTCATTTGCATTAAAATATTTTAATAGCACCAAAACTGTTACTTGCAGGTTTTTGTCCCTGTGCTGAGGTTTAGACACCGCTGCTTTACAATAATCTGAGTGCTGTAACTCTCCTCTGTACTTTTACTCATCTCACTGACAGATTTACTGGTCTGTAATTCCTCCTGGTAGATCAGGGTTAGGGTTAGTCAGTCAGCAGGGATTGGCTATTCAGGAGGCTTTGAAGGGTTAAATCCTCTGGGTTAAAAAGGTCAGCTGGTCGAAGCCGCTCACATTTCTCCAGATCACGACCAACAAAGACAACTTTCTTACGGAGCTGCTACTCTTCGTCAGTACTGTCCCACAGTCCCACGCCAAGTCTGTCCCAAATGTGTCCCACGAGTCAAAACTCTACTCGTTCAGAGAAAAGCATCGTCGAGTCTCTGTCTTTGTAGGATTGCCATAAACTTAAAAAAATACATTTACTTTTCTTAAAAGTCAAACTACTACTAATACTACTACTACTTCTACTACAACTACTGCTAAAACTACTACTGCTGCTACTACTACTACTAGTACTACCACTACTACTGCTACTACTACTACTACTACAACTACTGCTACTAGTACTGCCACTACTACTACTAGTACTACTACTGCTACTACTACTGCTACTACTACTACTACTACTACTAGTAGTGCTACTACTACTACTACTACTACTACTACTACTACTACTACTACTACTACTGCTATGATTACTACTACTACTACTACTACTACTACTACTACTACTACTGCTACTAATACTGCTACTACTAGTACTACTACTACTACTACTACTACTAGTACTACGACTACTACTGCTACTACTGCTATTAGTACTACTACTACTACTACTACTCCTACTACTACTGCTGCTACTACTATTACTACTACTACTACTACTACTACTACTACTACTACTACTACTACTGCTACTGCTACTACTGCTATTAGTACTACTACTACTCCTACTCCTATTACTTCTGCTGCTACTCCTACTACTACTACTACGACTACTACTACTACTACTCCTCCTACTACTACTGCTACTGCTAGTCCTCCTACTCCTACTGCTACAACTACTACTACTACTACTACTACTGCTACTGCTACTCCTCCTCCTACTCCTACTGCTACTACTACTACTCCTACCACTACTACTACTACTACTACTACTTCTACTCCTCCTCCTCCTCCTCCTCCTACTGCTACTACTACTACTACTACTACTACTACTACTGCTACTCCTCCTCCTCCTGCTGCTACTCCTACTCCTACTCCTACTACTACGACGACAACGACTACTACTACTACTTCTACTGCTACTCCTCCTCCTCCTACTGCTGCTACTCCTACTCCTACTACTACTACTACTGCTACTGCTACTCCTCCTCCTACTGCTGCTACTCCTACTCCTACTACTACTACTACTGCTATTGCTACTCCTCCTCCTCCTACTGCTGCTACTCCTCCTACTACTACTACGACTACTACTACTACTACTACTTCTACTGCTACTCCTCCTCCTCCTCCTCCTACTGCTACTACTACTACTACTACTACTACTACTACTACTACTACTACTACTACTTCTACTGCTACTCCTCCTCCTCCTCCTACTGCTACTACTACTACTACTACTACTACTACTACTACTACTACTACTACTTCTACTGCTACTCCTCCTCATCCTCCTACTGCTACTACTACTACTACTACTACTACTACTGCTACTGCTACTCCTCCTCCTCCTGCTGCTACTCCTACTCCTACTCCTACTACTACTACGACGACGACAACGACTACTACTACTACTTCTACTGCTACTCCTCCTCCTCCTACTGCTGCTACTCCTACTACTACTACTACTACTACTGCTACTGCTACTCCTCCTCCTACTGCTGCTACTCCTACTCCTACTACTACTACTACTGCTATTGCTACTCCTCCTCCTCCTACTGCTGCTACTCCTCCTACTACTACTACGACTACTACTACTACTACTACTTCTACTGCTACTCCTCCTCCTCCTCCTACTGCTACTACTACTACTACTACTACTACTACTACTACTACTTCTACTGCTACTCCTCCTCCTCCTCCTACTGCTACTACTACTACTACTACTACTACTACTACTGCTACTGCTACTCCTCCTCCTCCTACTGCTACTACTATTACTACTACTACTACTACTACTACTACTACTTCTACTGCTACTCCTCCTACTGTTACTACTACTACTACTACTACTACTACTACTACTACTACTACTACTACTACTACTTCTACTGCTACTCCTCCTCCTCCTCCTCCTACTGCTACTACTACTACTACTACTACTACTCCTACTAATACTACTACTACTACTTCTACTGCTACTCCTCCTCCTACTGCTACTACTACTACTAGTCAAATGAAATCAAATCAACTTTATTTATATAGCACTTTTCATACAAAAAATGCAACTCAAAGTGCTTTACAGATTAAAATGGCCCCATAGGTCCCATATTTCCATCCCAGCCCCCCTCCCCAAGTATAAAACAATTAAAAACGACGGTTCCCCTCCCGCACCCAACTTCCAAAGTGGACATACAATCACCCGCACACTCGTCCATGCACACAGACACACACACACACACACACACACACACACACACACACACACACACACACACACACACACACACACACACACACACACACTCGTGAACACCAGAGGAAAACAATAGGCTGAGTTCAGATGGATCAGGTAATGAACGAGACATCATCAGCGGAGCCATCTGCCCTGGCAGCAACAGATCCACGGCAGCAGCCAAGACACCGGCCCATGACGCCCAGTGGTGGAGGGCAGAAACCCCCACCAGTGCCCGGGCACTACCCGAGGAGCGCCCTGGCCGCCGCCGCCCCTGACCACCGGCCCCAAGGCAGAGGGCTCCGCAGAGGAAACATTGGAGGATTTAAGATATATAACATGTTAAATAACAAAAGGTAATATTGATAAAAATAACTGACGAAAAGGGATTATAAAGATAGTAAAAGAAAACATAATCATGTAAAAACACTAAGATGTAGATAAAATGATAAAATTAATTAAAAGAGATAAATATGTATATATAGATAAATAGTGATCAGTTAAAAGCTAAGCTAAAAAGGTGGGTCTTGAGCCTATTTTTAAAAGCCTGGACGTTCCCTTTGGCCCTGAGGTCCTCCGGCAGCCTGTTCCAAAGGCGAGGGCCGTAATACTTGAAGGACGCCTCGTCGTGGGTGTGAGTCTTAACTTTAGGGATAACTAGGAGACGGCTGCCAGAGGAGCGCAGAGACCACGAGGGTTTATATAGTAAAAGCATTTCTGAAAGATAAGAAGGCTCAAGACCATTAAGACACTTAAAAACCATTAAAAGAACCTTAAAATCAATCCTGAAACATACGGGGAGCCAGTGCAGTGATTTCAAAACCGGAGTGATGTGCTCCCGCTTCCTGGTCTTCATCAGGACATGTGCTGCTGAGTTTTGTAAAAGTTGTAAACCTGAGATGCTCTTTTTGGGAAGACCAGAAAGCAGGGCATTGCAGTAATCAATTCTACTGGTTATAAAAGCATGCACTAGCGTCTCCGCATTGGCCCGAGAGAGAATGGGGCGGACTCTGGCGATTTTCTTAAGATGGTAAAAACCTATTTTTGTGATGTTTTTAATGCAGGGAATAAAAGTCAGCTCAAAGTCCAAAATAACGCCCAGATTCTTCACTTGTAGTGATGGATAAAAAGACATTGATTGTAGTTTAGGTAAAAGTTTCTCTCTCTGGGCCTCAGGACTGATGACTAAAACTTCAGTTTTGCCCTGGTTGAGCTGGAGAAAGTTTTCAGTCATCCATGATTTAATATCTAAAATTCAATTAAAAAGTGTTTCCATTGGCTGTGCGTCATCAGGAGACACGGAGATGTACAACTGTGTATTGTCAGCGTAACTGTGGAAATTCACCCCATGTCTCCTGATGACGCTGCCCAGAGGGAGCATATAGAGGTTAAAAAGCACTGGGCCTAGAATTGAAGCCTGAGGCACCCCGCATGTGATGCTGTGGACCCCAGAGGAACAGGTATCCAGACTCACCATAAAAGTCCTGTCTGTGAGGTAGGAAGTGAACCAACTGTGAACAACACCAGAGTGGCCGGTCTGTTTTAAACGGGTTAAAAGAATAGTGTGGTCTGCTGTATCAAAGGCAGCGCTTAGATCCAGCAGAACCAACACTGTTACCCTCCAAGCATCATCATTTGTTCTAAAATCATTTAAAATCTTCAGAAGGGCCGTCTCAGTGCTGTGGTTCACCCTAAAACCAGACTGAAATTTCTCTAGGACATGTTGGTGGTTGATGAAATCATTAAGTTGTATTAAAACAAGCTTCTCTAAAATGTTGCTTAAAAATGGTAAGTTGGATACCGGTCGGAAATTGTTAAAGTCATTAAAATCTAAATTGCTCTTCTTCAACAGGGGTCTGACCACCGCCCGTTTAAAAGCAGCAGGAAAGACCCCCGTCTGAAGGGGACAGTTCATCAAAGTTAAAATCTCATCTCTAAAAGAGTCATAAAATTGTTTAAAAAAACTACTACTACTACTACTACTACTGCTACTGCTACTGCTACTCCTCCTCCTCCTCCTCCTCCTACTACTACTTCTACTACTACTACTACTACTACTACTGCTACTGCTACTCCTCCTCCCACTCCTACTGCTGCTGCTACTTCTACTACTACTACTACTACTACTGCTACTGCTACTCCTCCTCCTCCTCCTCCTCCTACTACTACTTCTACTACTACTACTACTACTACTGCTACTGCTACTCCTCCTCCCACTCCTACTGCTGCTGCTACTTCTACTACTACTACTACTACTACTGCTACTGCTACTCCTCCTCCTCCTCCTCCTCCTACTACTACTTCTACTACTACTACTGCTACTGCTACTCCTCCTCCTCCTCCTACTACTACTACTACTTCTACTACTACTACTACTGCTACTGCTACTCCTCCTCCCACTCCTTCTGCTGCTGCTACTACTACTACTACTACTACTGCTACTGCTACTCCTCCTCCTCCTCCTCCTCCTACTACTACTACTACTTCTACTACTACTACTACTGCTACTGCTACTCCTCCTCCCACTCCAAATGCTGCTACTCCTCCTTCTCCTACTACTACTTCTACTACTACTACTACTACTACTACTACTACTACTACTACTACTACTACTACTACTACTACTACTACTACTGCCACTGCTACTCCTCCTCCTCCTCCTACTACTACTACTACTTCTACTACTACTACTACTACTACTCTTACTCCTACTACTACTACTGCTACTGCTACTCCTCCTCCTCCTACTGCTGCTACTCCTCCTCCTCCTACTACTACTACTAATACTTCTACTACTACTACTAGTACTACTACTACTACTACTACTGCTGCTGCTACTGCTACTGCTACTCCTCCTCCTACTTCTACTGCTACTACTACTACTACTACTGCTACTGCTACTCCTCCTCCTCCTACTACTGCTGCTACTACTACTCCTACTCCTCCTCCTCCTCTTCCTCCTCCTACTACTTCTACTACTATTACTCCTCCACCACCACCTCCTCCTCCTCCTCCTACTGCTACTACTGCTACTGCTACTCCTCCTACTACTCCTACTGCTACTACTACTACTACTACTACTACTACTACTACGACTACTACTACTACTACTACTGCTACTGCTACTCCTCCTCCTCCTACTACTGCTGCTACTACTACTCCTACTCCTCCTCCTCCTCTTCCTCCTCCTACTACTTCTACTACTATTACTCCTCCACCACCACCTCCTCCTCCTCCTCCTACTGCTACTACTGCTACTGCTACTCCTCCTACTACTCCTACTGCTACTACTACTACTACTACTACTACTACTACTACTACTACTACTACTACTACTGCTACTGCTACTGCTACTCCTCCTACTGCTGCTACTACTACTCCTACTCCTACTCCTACTCCTACTACTACTACTTCTACTACTACTACTACTACTACTACTGCTGCTACTGCTAATCCTCCTCCCACTCCTACTGCTGCTACTCCTCCTCCTCCTCCTCCTCCTCCTACTACTACTACTACTTCTACTACTACTACTACTACTACTCTTACTCCTACTACTACTACTGCTACTGCTACTCCTCCTCCTCCTACTGCTGCTACTCCTCCTCCTCCTACTACTACTACTACTACTTCTACTACTACTACTACTAGTACTACTACTACTACTACTACTGCTGCTGCTACTGCTACTGCTACTCCTCCTCCTACTTCTACTGCTACTACTACTACTACTACTGCTACTGCTACTCCTCCTCCTCCTACTACTGCTGCTACTACCACTCCTACTCCTCCTCCTCCTCTTCCTCCTCCTACTACTTCTACTACTATTACTCCTCCACCACCACCTCCTCCTCCTCCTCCTACTGCTACTACTGCTACTGCTACTCCTCCTACTACTCCTACTGCTACTACTACTACTACTACTACTACTACTACTACTACTACTACTACTACTACTGCTACTGCTACTGCTACTCCTCCTACTACTCCTACTGCTGCTACTACTACTCCTACTCCTACTCCTACTCCTACTACTATTACTTCTACTACTACTACTACTACTACTACTGCTGCTACTGCTAATCCTCCTCCCACTCCTACTGCTGCTACTCCTCCTCCTCCTCCTCCTCCTCCTCCTACTACTACTACTTCTACTACTGCTACTGCTAATCCTCCTACTACTCCTACTGCTACTACTACTACTACTACTACTACTACTACTACTACTACTACTACTACTACTACTACTGCTACTGCTACTGCTACTCCTCCTACTACTCCTACTGCTGCTACTACTACTCCTACTCCTACTCCTACTACTACTACTTCTACTACTACTACTACTACTACTACTGCTGCTACTGCTAATCCTCCTCCCACTCCTACTGCTGCTACTCCTCCTCCTCCTCCTCCTCCTCCTCCTACTACTACTACTACTACTACTGCTACTGCTACTCCTCCTCCTCCTCCTCCTCCTACTACTACTTCTACTACTACTACTACTACTACTGCTACTGCTACTCCTCCTCCCACTCCTACTGCTGCTGCTACTTCTACTACTACTACTACTACTACTGCTACTGCTCCTCCTCCTCCTCCTCCTCCTCCTACTACTACTTCTACTACTACTACTGCTACTGCTACTCCTCCTCCTCCTCCTACTACTACTACTACTTCTACTACTACTACTACTGCTACTGCTACTCCTCCTCCCACTCCTTCTGCTGCTGCTACTACTACTACTACTACTACTACTGCTACTGCTACTCCTCCTCCTCCTCCTCCTCCTACTACTACTACTACTTCTACTACTACTACTACTGCTACTGCTACTCCTCCTCCCACTCCAAATGCTGCTACTCCTCCTTCTCCTACTACTACTTCTACTACTACTACTACTACTACTACTACTACTACTACTACTACTACTACTACTACTACTGCCACTGCTACTCCTCCTCCTCCTCCTACTACTACTACTACTTCTACTACTACTACTACTACTACTCTTACTCCTACTACTACTACTGCTACTGCTACTCCTCCTCCTCCTACTGCTGCTACTCCTCCTCCTCCTACTACTACTACTAATACTTCTACTACTACTACTAGTACTACTACTACTACTACTACTGCTGCTGCTACTGCTACTGCTACTCCTCCTCCTACTTCTACTGCTACTACTACTACTACTACTGCTACTGCTACTCCTCCTCCTCCTACTACTGCTGCTACTACTACTCCTACTCCTCCTCCTCCTCTTCCTCCTCCTACTACTTCTACTACTATTACTCCTCCACCACCACCTCCTCCTCCTCCTCCTACTGCTACTACTGCTACTGCTACTCCTCCTACTACTCCTACTGCTACTACTACTACTACTACTACTACTACTACTACGACTACTACTACTACTACTACTGCTACTGCTACTCCTCCTCCTCCTACTACTGCTGCTACTACTACTCCTACTCCTCCTCCTCCTCTTCCTCCTCCTACTACTTCTACTACTATTACTCCTCCACCACCACCTCCTCCTCCTCCTCCTACTGCTACTACTGCTACTGCTACTCCTCCTACTACTCCTACTGCTACTACTACTACTACTACTACTACTACTACTACTACTACTACTGCTACTGCTACTGCTACTCCTCCTACTGCTGCTACTACTACTCCTACTCCTACTCCTACTCCTACTACTACTACTTCTACTACTACTACTACTACTACTACTGCTGCTACTGCTAATCCTCCTCCCACTCCTACTGCTGCTACTCCTCCTCCTCCTCCTCCTCCTCCTACTACTACTACTACTTCTACTACTACTACTACTACTACTCTTACTCCTACTACTACTACTGCTACTGCTACTCCTCCTCCTCCTACTGCTGCTACTCCTCCTCCTCCTACTACTACTACTACTACTTCTACTACTACTACTACTAGTACTACTACTACTACTACTACTGCTGCTGCTACTGCTACTGCTACTCCTCCTCCTACTTCTACTGCTACTACTACTACTACTACTGCTACTGCTACTCCTCCTCCTCCTACTACTGCTGCTACTACCACTCCTACTCCTCCTCCTCCTCTTCCTCCTCCTACTACTTCTACTACTATTACTCCTCCACCACCACCTCCTCCTCCTCCTCCTACTGCTACTACTGCTACTGCTACTCCTCCTACTACTCCTACTGCTACTACTACTACTACTACTACTACTACTACTACTACTGCTACTGCTACTCCTCCTACTACTCCTACTGCTGCTACTACTACTCCTACTCCTACTCCTACTCCTACTACTATTACTTCTACTACTACTACTACTACTACTACTGCTGCTACTGCTAATCCTCCTCCCACTCCTACTGCTGCTACTCCTCCTCCTCCTCCTCCTCCTCCTCCTACTACTACTACTTCTACTACTGCTACTGCTAATCCTCCTACTACTCCTACTGCTACTACTACTACTACTACTACTACTACTACTACTACTACTACTACTACTACTACTACTGCTACTGCTACTGCTACTCCTCCTACTACTCCTACTGCTGCTACTACTACTCCTACTCCTACTCCTACTACTACTACTTCTACTACTACTACTACTACTACTACTGCTGCTACTGCTAATCCTCCTCCCACTCCTACTGCTGCTACTCCTCCTCCTCCTCCTCCTCCTCCTCCTACTACTACTACTACTACTACTGCTACTGCTAATCCTCCTCCCACTCCTACTGCTGCTACTCCTCCTCCTCCTACTACTACTACTACTACTTCTACTACTACTACTACTACTACTACTACTACTACTACTACTACTACTACTGCTACTGCTACTCCTCCTCCTCCTACTACTACTACTACTTCTACTACTACTACTACTACTACTACTACTCCTACTCCTACTACTACTACTGCTACTCCTCCTCCTCCTACTACTACTACTACTTCTACTACTACTACTACTACTACTACTACTACTACTACTACTACTACTACTACTACTACTGCTGCTACTACTACTGCTACTGCTACTCCTCCTCCTACTTCTACTGCTACTACTATTCCTACTCCTCCTCCTCCTCTTCCTCCTCCTACTACTTCTACTACTATTACTCCTCCACCACCACCTCCTCCTCCTCCTCCTACTGCTACTACTGCTACTGCTACTCCTCCTACTACTCCTACTGCTACTACTACTACTATTACTACTACTGCTACTGCTACTGCTACTCCTCCTACTACTCCTACTGCTGCTACTACTACTCCTACTACTACTTCTACTACTATTACTCCTCCTCCTCCTACTACTACTGCTACTTCTACTACTACTACATACTCCTACTAGTACTACTCATAGTAACCTACACTGATCCAAGCAATCAAATGCAAGATCAAGACTGGATTTAAATCTACTGAAACATGAAACAAAAATCTGTACAAAAACAATATTAGTTTATTTATTTCAGAAAAAAAACTATTTTAAACAACCAGAATATTCTTCACATTGTAGAATCTAAAGAGATGTTTCATGTTTAAAATGTACCAAGAACATGTTTATGGAGTTTAACATTTCTATTTCCCTGCTCAGTGGGAATCAAACAGAATCCACTCATTAATGAGCAGTTCTTCCCCATTTAGAGTAACTTACTTTGTATTTTGCTCCCAGGCTCGTAAATAAACATAAATAAACATAAACTGCTGACACACTCCAGCCATGTGAGGTCTAGCATTGTCCTGCAGTAGGAGGAACCCAGGCCCAACCGCACTAGCAATGGTCTCGTAAAAGTCTGAGGATCTCATCTGGGTACCTACTGGCAGTCGGGCTAACTCTGGCAAGCACTTGGAAGGCTGTTCAGCCCCCGGTCTAAATAATATAAGATGTACGCCGACACAGTGGATGCAGCTCTTGCTTTGGGTGTACAGGGACTAGATAGACCCTATATTCTCACACCCTGAAACCACAGAATGGCTCAAGGAACATGGTTGTGAGCCTTCCACAAGTCCACAAAGTAAGTGAACTGGACAACTATTCTGCCATGACCTCCTCCACAGCTCAGCAGATGTCCCATGACCCAGATCCAAGGTTTAACAATCCATCTGAGCCACCTTTACCAACACCTTTGAGTTTTTTTGGTGGAAGCGCTGAAAACTGTGATGTCTTATAGTTGAAACCTTCTCTCTGGTATGTTTCAGATCATTTAAGCCACCAGCCCAATCTCCACCTCAACCTTTACTTTAGTGATTAATAAATAAGGAATTTTCCTTTCTGCAAGGTGTTTCTCATCCATACCACACTCACTTCTTAATTAGTGGAACGCCACTTGTTTTCAGGTTGGCCCAAGTCTGCTTTGTAGTATAAATGACACAGAGGAGCCGGCCTGCTTGACTGATTAAACAAACAATCAGTTTAAATAGAAGGGAGGTTCAAGTAGCTGCTCTCATGGCACCTGGTGTAAACTCTCACTCACTCACTCACTCACTCACTCACTCACTCACTCACTCACTCACTCACTCACTCACTCACTCACTCACTCACTCACTCACTCACTCACTCACTCTACCAAGCTAATCAGGATCAGAGTATCAAGGGAACAGGTGGTTCCCTCCAGACTGCGGTTGAGAGGTAACGTACTTCCTGAACAGATCACCAGTCCGTCACAGAGTCAAAACACACACACACACACACACACACACACACACACACACACACACACACACACACACACACACACACACACACACACACACACACACACACACACACACACACACACACACACACACATACCGGTAGGCTAATGCGAGCGCGCTGACACACGCCACATTTCCTCCTGCTACACTTCTACTGGATGATAAATTGATAGTTTTGCTAGAAAACCCAGCAGATGAGATGTTTACATCCGCTCACACCACAACATGATCACCGAAAGTGTCCGTTACACAAAGCTATGGCGGCAACAAGTTGTCCTGGATGCTCCAGTCTTGGGTCTTTCACGTGAATCCTAACTTTTTATAATGCTGATTTTGTCCAAACACCGGTCCCCGCCTTCTTTACTTTATATATCCTTGTATTTTCCACATCCTTTCTGGGATTTCAACATGTTGTTTAACAATTACTTTCTCCCAAATCTGCTTCTTCTGTGCGATGTTTGTTTTCAGTTTGTTTACACTCGTTAAGCTTGGTTTATGCTTGACGCATTGACTTTCTGCGCGGTGATGCGGCTCGCGGATGGAACGAGCTTCACAACTCGCAGTGTTTATGGTTTGTGCGGCTTGTCTCTGCGGTGAGCCAATATTCTCCCAAACTGTAGGGGGCAGCATGGAGCTCTACGGCATGCATCCAACACTACACCATAGTAGAAGTAGAAATTACTGTTTACAACATGGCATTTCAGCATTTTTAACAGCGTCCTCGTCTTTTCCGACAGTGCGAACTATTTCTCTCCAAGAATTATTAACAACATGTTGATCACGGTGATCTCTGAGAGCTGAATATACAAATGTCTGTATTTACGAACCTCTGCCATACTAGTTCTTGCCGGTCCACCATGTTTTTCCATGTCTGACCGTCCGCGTGGTTAGAAATTTTCCTAGGTGCGCGGTGCGTAAATTTTGGGCCGTGGCGTGTTGGAGGGGCGTGGTTGTTAAAATGATGCAATTTCGCCGCATGGAGCTGTGCGAACCTCGGCGGACGCGTCAAGCATAAACCAACCTTAAGGCCATCAACATGTCAGCGCACAGCCCAGAATGTCCCAGAATCATGTGTGATCACAAACCCTATACAGCAGGGGTGTCAAACTCAAACTCACATGGGGCCGAAATGAAACTCTGGGACGGAGTCGAGGGCCAAACTTAATATTTTTTGGAAAAGTGACGGCAAATTTGCACATTTTCTTTATCAACATATATGCAATTTTGAACCTTTAAATTTGGAAACAAACTTATTTCTGCATTAACACTGAATGTTGAATAACCAAATTACACACGAGCAAGTCAGTTTTAAATAAAACACATCAGTGGTATTCATTACTTGTGGTATAATCAGCATTTTAAAAATCTATTCAGGATTTATGTTTTCTTGTTTATTCATTTTTCTTATTTTTTATTCTCCTTTTTTCTCCTGTAATACGTGTCATCGCTGCTGTGACGTCTAGCTTTCCCCACTGAGGAACAATAAAGGGATTTTCTATTCTATTCATCTATCTGCAGCCTTTCCACTTCCTGTTTACTGTAGGTTAAATCTTTTCTCACGGGCCAACAACAAAATAAAATATCATTTTATCTTACATGAAAATGCAACATCTCACCTGTTAACTTTCATGTTTTGGAGCAGAAAAAGAGCATAAAACTAACATATTTAAAGCTCAGTTTGCTCCACTGGTTTACTGTGATGCTCACCTGTTCCAGCCAGATACCTGCATCATGGGGTTGATCTGAGCTGAGGAGGAGACTCCTGTTGTTTTGTTCATCTTCATCATAATAATGACAACATCAGATGACAACAGGTGCTCACATAGGTTTGTGCTGCTGAACATGTCTGAGCAGCTTGACCATGTTGTTGTGTGTCGGGGAGGAAACACGACCACAGAGTCGTGCTGGTTTGAGCGTGTCGCTGCTCGCTGGAGTTATATCAGCTCTGTCTGGACGTTAGTTGGAAAACTTTCTCTTTCAGTCGTGAACACATTACTGAGCGGCTAGAATCTCCGTTTCTGGGCTTCAACGTCAGAAAACAGCTGAGTGAACTCGGCGCTGAGTGAGAGGAGTGTAGTTTGTCCGAGACAGCGGAGCTGCAGAGACCGGCAGCAGACGCTGGAAAAAACACAAAGGAGGGGGCTTCGTCGGCTCCGCGCTAATGCCGCAAAGCATCATGGGAGTTGAAGTCTTTGCGGTAAAATCGGCCAGCGGGCCAGTTTTAATATAGTTTTGATATTTATCTCGCAGGCCACATAAAAATGCTCCGCGGGCCGCATCTGGCCCGCGGGCCTTGACTCTGACATATGTGCTTATACAGGAACGAATTTTTTCAAAGGGCACCATCTAGAGGTGGAAACATGTATTGCACCTTTAATCCATCTCTATGGTTACAGCCAGAAGCTACACCCCTTGTTCATGAACGCACACTTCTAGTCGACCAACGGAGCTAAAACACATTGCTTTACAATGATTATTCTCACGTTATGCTGTTTATTTATATTTATTTATTTTAAAGACTTACTTGTCCACGAGAAATGTCACCAACTCAGCAATGGTCAGTTTTCGTCCTGAAAACACTCTCTGTGATTGACATCTGTATGTAAGCAGATGTCCAATGCTACTGGCTAATGCTGACCAGCGCTCAATTCAAATAGCAGTTGTGTGTGTGTATGTGTGTGTGTGTGTGTGTGTGTGTGTGTGTTTGTATGTGTGTGTGTGTGTGTGTGTGTCAGCTGCTCTTCTAAGAGTGAAGCAGGGGTTGATGGGTGTATTAACGCAGCACATCACTGGTGAAAGAACTGAAGGACCGGTTTCTTCCCTTTTGTTCTGTTTTCTATCTAAAGTTTAAATAAGAAGATAAACACGATTCCTCTGGAGGACTGAAGATTACTCTGCCACTCCCTGAAGCTAGAAACAGATCCGTGAGCTTTAGTCTGGCTTTTGGATTTTGGAAGCGATTTTGGTCTTCATCCAATAAGAGCTGCAGTTCAGAAACAGTTTCCTCTGTCTCTCTCTCCATCCCTGCTGTGTCCGTCTTTGTCCATTGTGCAGCAGGATCAGACACTAACGGGCGCAGGGGCGTGTTTGCTGCAGCACATAATTATTGCTGTTTGTTTGGTGGCTCAGATGCTGAGAAGGGATAAATAAAGACTGCTCACAGTTACGCTGCACAGCATTACTGAACTCACCTGTCAGTGTCTGGCCTCTGCATCCAGCCAGTCCAGTCATTTTAAATCCTTGAAACTTTTTGAAAGAGATTTAAAATGAAGTTTCCAGAGAAATGCTTTCTGGATGATCAAAAGCCTGTGAAATGGGTGAAAGGAATGACAGCAGGCCCCCTTGATGTGTTTGTGGCAAACCTTGTAAAGTGTAACTGAAAACATTTGATCCGATCAGGAGAACACCCTCCTTCATGTTCATGACTGCTGGATCATAAAGCAGCAGATGAACTCTGCCATGGTTTAAAATCTTACGACGGTGAAGCAGCAGAAAGGCTGAAGATCTAAAGTTTATCAGCAGCAAAGTGTATAATATAAACAGTCATACAGACAAAACATACGAGTGTGTTTGTGTGTGTGTGGGTAGGTTAGGGGGTGGCGGCTGGTTGCTCATGTGAATCAAAAAGAAACACTCGACGGGTCGTGAATAATTGTTTTAATGAGTGTGTAAAAGCAGGCGGCTCAGAGAGGGCCTGCCAGGTTAAACAAACTCTCCAAATCCGATTGTCAAAGTGCAAAGTGTTGTCGTTTCAATTTGCCCCTTCCGTCTTCGCTCGCTTCCTCCCTTCCCTTGTCTTAGGGTGTCCCCTCCCCCAGCCGGTCCGTTCCTGCCAATTACAAGACATAATATTTTCTCAAACCTGGTGTGATCTTTGGTTTGGTTGTTTTTAAAGGCCGGCTGATCCCAGTGCGCTCCACTGATCTTTGTCAATGGAGCATCAAAAGGCATGAACAAATGGCAAGTACTTCCTGTTATCTCCCAACAGCAACACTCCATCTTTTCATGCCACGCAGTTTTCTTAATAAAGACTTTAAAAATTTTGCTCAGATGTTTCTTTTTTTTAAGCGAACTTTGCTGTCAAAGTTTGCTTCAATTCTCTCTTTTAAAAGTGAATCTGAGACACTAATGAGACTTCACCTGCAAGAAGAGCTACATTTAGTCACCGACGGAAGATGCCAGAGGCGTGTTTAACAGCCAAAATCACATTCTCTTTGAAAACTAAAGATGCTAAACGTTTGTTTTCATTGTTGTTATTTACAAGATTTTATTTTCATGGACTGGTCACTTTAAACGGCCGTGTGGCCCGCTTTCTTCTTCCCTGCATGATCCAGTTTCTGGTTGGCTGCTGAGCCTGTGTGGGGACAATATTTAAGGTGGTATGACGGGTTCTTCTGCTGAGGATTTCAGGGTCTAATGCATTAAACAATCTTAACATGTACACAGAATTATTTTGGACTCGCTGAATATTTGG